TTAGTCGAGTCTGTACGACCCCCCCCCTCCGGCCCTCTGTTCCTCCTCATCGAATCGAGCCGTCGAGCGGGGGAGGGGGCATATAGTACGCATGAAACAGGAAAATCACCAAAAGTCAACCACCACTCCTACAACGCCGAACGTAAACACGATCCCCTCTCCAACAATGACCAAGTACGACCCCCTCCCCCTTTACAACGTCCGTGAAGCGAGAAAAATCAACTATCAAAAATAAATTTTCCCAGCCCAAATACGACCCCTCCCTCCTGGCGCCAAATGCGACCCCCCCCTATTGGGGATTCCTCAACAACGATGTGCCCTGGCACACCGTACCTCAAAAATTGCGCATGAAAGTAATGATGTTGGTCCTAGGTGCGCACAACGTCGCGGGATGTGGAGTGGTCTGTCTCCTGACAAGGAAAGGTATGGTTTGGTCGGAAGAGTGGCCATTTAAGACAAGATGCATACACACTGATGCGTCTTCGGACGCTGATTTCAAATCTGCTTTCCATATCTGCTAAACGATTCTCTGAGCAGAGATATGCAGGAGGTTGTTGTACGGAGCACAATTGAGCGGTACACAAATGAGACGTGAGTCGTCACACAAAGTGCATCGGTGGCCTAGTGGGTTAGCCGCGCTCAAGGTATGCGGAGTGAGAGGGTTCGAATACCTTCCGTGATTGTCATTTCCGCATTTTCTCAAAAAGCCTCCTGACATCCGAGAAAGCACTTAAGGTTCTGCGAGGCTAGGAGACCTGATTCTACCAAAAAAATTTATTTCTGATGTGATAGAGCCATTCTGGAAACACTCCTAGTGGGAACTCCTGATTGTTGGTTTTGGCGCAGATTATTTCGTTTCCGTCGTGCTTGTGAGGCAAATGATTTCCAGATAGGCATGGAAGCCAAAAGTTGGATTGTCGGTGGTTAGTTAATTCAGGACCGTCCAGTAACCAAACAAGGGACTAAGATTTATAGCCGAGGAACCTCCACTGCTCACAGAGATTTGAATCGGCGATAGTGCCAGCAACCTTTAGGAATTGGCTGCCTATGGTTACCCCACTGTATCGAAAATAGGTCGAAATCTCAAATTTGGTTGAAAACTTGTCTCTAGGGCTAATTTGAGCCCCAGAGCACGAATATCACACTCGTTCGGCGTAAAAACGCTTGCCAAGGACGTTGCAGGTTCCTGCACACCCTGCCCCTCCAGAATGCGTACAAGACGTTTTCACGAAATATAACTGCAGTGTTGATTTCCAGGGCACTGAAGCACCTCTAGTTTCAGATTCCAGCCAATTTGGGCAATTTGGAGCACCTCATATACATGCTGGAAATGGGTGTGACCTGGGCAGTCGGTCAATCCTGCATAACTTTTGTGCAGTTAATCTGTTTGCCAGATCATGGAGCGGCAGGTCTGTAATCCAGCGTCCAAGGCGCCATCGTGGCAGTATACGTTCATTTTCGACATGGCCACTTTCGACCAACCATCCTTATCCTTCCTGAGCATGCGCTCAGCTCAGAAGGGGCATCTTGTTGGACCACTAGTTTCTTCAATTTTCTCACATTGATGAAAGCTAAACTCTTGTGAAGCCGCGAAATGGTATGAGCTTCACTATGTATGGCTAGCTTCAACGAGTTTCCACACCTTCACAAGGTGGCCTGTGTGGAGGACACGTCCTGCTGCTGTGAAAATTTTGCAAAACATGGCCACTCTCCCTCCCAGATTTCTTCCTCTGGTAGGACCCCTATTCTATCTACCATCGAGGTCGCCAACAAATAAGTATTTAACACAACCACCAGGAAAAAAAAAGTAGTTTTATAAGAGTTTGGCTGCCCCCCCCCGGCCACGGAGTCTTCCAACAATGTGGATAGCGCGCATGAAAGAGGAAAAATCAACTTTCAAAAATGTTACTTAGGCAAACTGCGATCCCTCGCTCCAACGACCAAATGCGATCCCCATCAGAAACTAGCCCACGTACGACGTGCCCTGGCTGTACAATTTCGAAGCTTCACAAAAGTTCACGCAGATTAGAACTAGCGAAATGCCCCTCCCCGCACCCTATCTTTTAAGGCGGGGAGCGCCGAAAAAGATTCATCGATTGCCACTGTTTTCGAGGTCTTGAAGAGGACGTGGAAAACGTTTCTTACGATAACCTAGTTGATTTGGCACCAACATCCTATATCGAGTCAACTAGACAGGAGTGCTGGTTTGAGTGTGATGCCGCGTTTCGGGTGTACGAAATTATCCCGGATCTCCATAACTACAGATACCATGATAGAGCCCACAAGGCTTGTTTTTGGAGTGGCTTATCCAAGCTACAGTACATATCACACATGTCCTCAAATGACTTCACGATTTTGAATAGGAACGGGATGCGCCATGTATCCTGCTCCCATTCAGAGTTGAGGTTGATGGATGCTCAAAGTGTTGTGTCCTATCATTAGAGCTTATAGGCTGGATTTTGTGGAGCAATTAACGGCTACTGTAGGTGAACGAAAAGGTTGACCCTGAGCTAATGAATAATTCAAAACGATCGATAAGTGCGAAATCGGCCTTTGTGGACAACGAACGCTGCTGAATCGACTGTATTGTTCACGGCCTTTGTGGTGACAACAAACAGAGCCTGCGCCCGTTGCGATGCCCGTAAAGTGCTTGTTATGACGGTCATCGAGATCCGATTTTTTTTTCGCGGTAAAAATTTACAAGTCCTACTGCATACAGGGAGAGAGAGAGCAACAAAAAAAAGACATGGAAAGCATCATCATAGCTTACTTTGCACGTGGTAGTAAGGGCCTTCTTTTTATTCTGGTTCATTGCCCCCTGCCCACCCCCTCCCACTCTTGCAGTGCATGTGTTTGTCACGAAATCATAGCTCGAGCCGCAGACAATGGGACATTGCTTTCGAGTAGAAATACAGGGAGTGGAACAGGAACATTACTGGTTGACAGGAAGTGATAACCATTGATAAGATCTGATAGTGGACCTTAGAAAGGGAGGGTCACCAAATTCATAAGGCGCGTCGCTACAACAACGGGGCGTTGGTTCCAGGAGATAGTGTAATGGGGTGGAACAGTAACATGAAAAATGCATCGACCCACAAGATCTGATAGTGGGCACAGTAGCTCGTCAGCTTACAGTAGTCCCGATCTTGCCGACGAAGTTTTTAGAGCTGTGGAATATTATGGATCTCATTTCTGCAGCACTAGTTCAATTTTTATGTTGGACGGAACTCAGCGTTGGAGGTGCGAACAAACGATCATGATCGAGGAATTGTGTTCCTTTCCGAACCTTGGGGAGGGAGCTCAAGTCGAATGAACTTCTTCACTCCGGATTTTACTCCGCTCAGGAGCTCTTTATAGGCTCAGGTTTGGCCACAAAGAGATTCTTCTGACTGTTCATAAAGAACGCGCTCTAAATTCATTAAGAATCATCAGAAGAAAGCCATGGATAAAGATAGATACTCGTGGAGCTTATTCTGTCTGAGCAAACACACTGAGGTCTGCCCTCCCTAGCCTAGCCCTCCGAACAACTTTTCCATTACCATTAGCAGCCGCTGAGAGTGAGAGAGCTGCCTGCGCCGTCTATAATGAAAGAAAGTGTTTGCATAGGTTCGAGATGTCTTCGGTGCTTTGAGGCTCTCACATGTAAGTTGGTTCCCAACAAGCAGTAACGATAGTGAGGCGGAGTTATCGATGGTGGCTGATAGAAGGTGGTAATTTAGTAACCTGTCTGGTAAAGAGGGCGGGTAAACATGAGTGTATCTCACTTTCCAGACCGTGTCGTGATGTGCGCCATCGCCGTATGACAGGCAAGTTTGAAGATATGCATTAAAATACGGGACAGGTGACAAAGGGATATCCGCTGTCAGAGGAACGCATGGTAGAAGGGCCCGGTGTTCGACGGCAGAGATCAGGTTTTCCTTCATCTGCGATAAAACGAGCGAGGGAGGAAAGCAGGATTGCCAGTAGTACTGCTGCCAGGTAAAGAACACCCCTTCCCTTGCGTCGCTTTCAATTTTGTTCCACTGCCACCGTAGTTCACTGTTCCTCTTTGACGCCCTCCCGCTGTGACATCTCGATGGTTTTTGCAGATTTCGCCTACATATGGATATCATCATCCACGCTGCGCGGTTCGACCTGGTGGGCTCCTCCAGGCTCAGGTAGAGCTCACCTGTCCCAACAGCCGGTTGTCCTTGTGAGATTCCGCCACCGCTGTGATCAGCCTATTCCGCGTGGTGTTGTTCGTGAAAGCACAGGACATGAACATGCTTGCATCTCATCAGAGCCGACACATCTCGAGACTTTCAGGTCCGTGATCTCATGTTCAGGGTTACAATTCGGACCAGCTTCATATTTTTTGCGCGAGAAGTTTATGTAGCTCCTCGCTATGCGCTACATTCTGACCGCGGTACTCGATCAAATATTCGAAGTGCATTCCGAAAATCGGACCCACCGGAAGTTGCAACAAAATATTGGCCTAACGCTGGATTGCACGCGCTGATTAAGTGCGACTACGTGTAGATCAATTTCAAACCACACCGCCGCTATTGTCCGCCTTTTATCAGTGCTGTCGATCTACATCTTGTCTATTCGTTATTTCCGACTGCGGACGAATGGGCGTGTCAGGCGGGATGGGTTTGGCGCGTACTAAACCCGTTCTCCACCGATTGTTGAAACGAGCTATTGAGGAGACTGTATCATATCGTTATTATCACTCGTTTCCTGCCAATTACTGTCGCATATCCGCTTCAAGCAACTATTAGAGAACGGATTTGGCGCCGTGCCATACTCATGCTGTCTGACACGTCCTTCATCCGCAGCGATTAGAGTACATTACGATCACCTTTCACTCAAGTAGTCGTTCTTCTAGCACCACTCTTCGTGAAGGTTTAGCTCAGAATGATCACACACTTCGAAAGCCACTGCTGGAGGCGCAGCGTGGTGGCTCAGCTGAAAATAAAGTCGAAATCTAGCAACGCTCCATTTAACTCATCCCTTTTACAATGCCTAGTCGAGAAATCGTAAGGGCAGAATCGCCCCGTTCATCAAGGTCTCCTCGTCAGAAATTTCGTTCTTCACCATCGTCGCCGTCGCAGAAACTCGAAAATGAACACGGTCCGGCAACACGTCGAAGTCTACGAGATCGACGACTAGTTCTGATTATCCCACCAAAACGAACTCAACTTAAAAGAAGGTTTGTGAAGACTTATCCGATTCCAAGGCGTTCTATACGGAAGCTGGCTATTGACGCCGGGTTAGTGCGATTGCGCAGAGATGTCTATGAGGAATCGCTGCTCTATCTCGAGATTTTTCTCAATGGCATCGTCCATGACATCGTTCAATACTGCACTCATGCGAAAAGGAAAACCATTCAAGTGGAAGACGTCAAGAACGCTCTGAAGCGCCGAGGGCTACGCGTCTATGGATTCGACGATTAGTTAAGTGAGAAAATTTGTGTAGAATTAATGCATAAACGTTGATAGCACATTTGTTAAGATTAACTGTAGTACTTACCGTCTTCAGACAACGCGCAGCACCTTGAATGGGTGGTCGGATATGGTTGGCAGACAACAAGTGTTGCCGTTGAGTGTGAGAATGGCTCTGTTTGTCCGTCTGACAGACATACATACACTGATATTCAGAGAGTTGGGCCAAGAAATGAGGAAGGGAGTGCATCTGGGGGTTTCGTTCGCACAACCGAGTTCACCGTGACGCAAACCCCTTTTTTCCACGAAATCGGTCCATCCACACCAAAGCCTATTCCCTATAATGTTCACCATCAGGTAAAACCCTTCACCTTGTCGAAAACAGTCCTAGTGACCCAGAAAATATTCATCAAGTGCTCCCACCTCCTTAGCCGATGTTGCCGCCTGGCCGGCGCACCTCGAATGACTACTCACCTAGTAAAGGGTAAGCCTAGGTAAAAAAGTGATCCTGGTGTGATGTGAAACTACCTGAAAAAGATGAGGACGCCAGAGATTAGCCTTCCACCGACTTTTTTTTCCAAGACCAGTACGAGTACACTACGTAGTCAATTCGGTCATCAACTCACGGTCCGCGACAAGAAGCGTAGATGATGGAGGTGAAATGTGCAAGTAAAGTGACGAGTGACTCGTTC